AACATCGAAGCCAAACGGATACCCACATCCATGCTTCGCCCTAGCTACCTGAAATTAATCTCAAACCTTAAAACCGAGACCCGCTCTACCAAAACACTTTTTTTATTTCCAAAAAGTTACTACCCAGAAAACAATATTAAGGCCAACCAAATCCTAAACCTAAAAATTTTCTGCCAAAAGAATGTGGTTTACTCTTGCTGTTGAATTTTTTGTATGTGCAATTGCTTATGTTAATGCTTAATTCTAGAAATTGTTGTTGTCTTAATTACTAATGCTTTTTAGCTCTTTTTTTAAGGTAAGTGACGAATTGCTATGTTTTAGGTTTTCTTCTTGTTAAACCTAGGTGTGCTCGTGTGTTGGGTATTATAGAAACTTAGTGTTTTTAGAGTATGAAGCTGCTAGATTCAGATTTTGCTTTTAGGAATTGGGCTCAGTAATTGCTTCTTACAACTTGTTCTCCTTATTGCTTTTTCTATGAATGCTAATGAAGATTAATACTTGTTTCTAGAAATTGGCTTTGAGGCTTTCTGAAGCTTTTTTGAATGCCTTCGATCCTGATGTTGGCTATATTGCACCATTGTGCTGCACTGTATCTACTTTTGAAAATCGCTTGGTAATTTCTTGATGCTTCTTCTTACTCTGTTAAAAGCTTTAACCAAAACTACCTCTATGCTGAATGATCTTCTACTAAATTCTTCTGCTCTAGTTGTGCTTGATTCTTCTATATGGATTATGAATTCTCGTGAGGCTCCCTTATAATCACAAATTCAAATTCTTTATATAAGATCAAAAGCCCAATTCTATTCAAAAAACTTTAATTGCACTAGATCTAGAAAAAATCTCTAAGATTCAATTTTCTGTAATCTTCTTTTTTATCAATGAATTAATGTTCAAGAATTTCCATAGGCATTTAATCAATAAATTTTAGAATCCAAAACCGAATTTGAAAGTGAATCCAAGGTTTCCTACAATTTCCAAATCCTACATTTTCCTTTTTTTTCTTTTTTTTCCTTTTTGTTGATTTTTTTTTTACCAATTGACTCTTTTGACTAAAAAACAAAAATTAAACCAAAAATTAAACTAAAAAAATTAAAATACAAATAAAATTTAGGGTTTAATCTTTAGGCCTAAAATTCACTCCAATTAAGGCTCAATTACACAATCAAATCAAAATTCAAAACCCAATGAATTTTGAAAAATCCTTAAACAAAATGGGATGTTTACAATAAGTGATAATTTAGTTGTTAATTATTGATAATTTAGTAACAAATTAATGATAACCTAATAATAAATTAGTGATAATTTATTGGTAAATAAATTTCAGCTTAATCATAATTAATTGATAGTAATGAATCATAAATAACTTAGTAGTAAATCAATGATAATTTAGTAATGAATAATTAATAATTTAGTAGTTAATCATTGAAAATTTAAAAATAAATTAGTATAATTTAGTAGTAAATTATTAATAACTTAAGAGTTAATTAGTGATAACTTAATAGTAAATCATGCAGAATTTAGTATAAATCAATAATAATTTGGTATTGAATCATAGATAATTTAGTAATAAACCAATGATAATTTTGTAGTAAATAATCAAAAATTAAGTAATAAATAAATGATAACATAGTAGTAAATATATAAAAATATAATAGTAACTAATTGATAATTTAGTAGTAAATTGATAACTTAGTAGTAAATCACTAATAACATAATAGTAAATTACTAATAATTAATTGTAAATTAATGATAATTTAGTAGTAAATTAGTTAATCACTGATAACTTTTAGTAAATCATTGATAAATTAGTAGTAAATCAGTTATAAATTTATAATAAATCATCAATAATTTAGTGATAAATCACCAATAATTTAATAAAAATCATTCATAATTTGATGACAAATCATTCATTAATTAATTGTAAATCATTAATAATTTAGTAATAATCTATTGATAGCTTAGTAGTAAACACCGATAACTTAATTATCATTTATTAATAACTTTTTTATACTTGAAGTTTTCAGGGATTAAACCCCGATTACTAGCATAAACAAAGTCAAAACTTTTATTTTGGGATTAAGATAAACCTATCATGAACCTATTCAATAAAAAATTAGTAAAAAATCTATATTTGAATAAAATAATAATATTATTATATAAAAGAAAATTATCTCATATATTATTAGTAGATTTTTTAAATTTCATATTTCATAGTTATAAATGCATAAAAACATATTAGTAAATTATTGATAAGTTAATAAAAAACAAGTGATAACTTAATAGTTATTTGTTGATACTTAATAATAAATCAATTTCAGTTTAATAGTAATTAATTGATAAACTTAATAGTAAATCACAAATTACTTAGTAGTTAATCATTGAAAACTTAAAAGTAAATTAATATAACTTAATAATAATAAATAATTGATAACTTAATAGTTAATTAATGATAACTTAATAAGAAATCAAGAATAATTTAATATAAGTTAGTGATAATTTGGTGACGAATCATAGTTAATTTAATAATAAATTATATGATGACTATATACTAAATAATAAAAAACTTAGTAAATTAACAGTAACATAGTAGTAAATAAATAACAATATAATAGTAAATCATTGATAATTTAAATGTAAATTATTGATAACTTAGTAATAAATAAAAAATAACTTACTTACAAATAAATGAGAATTTAGTTGTAAATCAGTGATAATTTTATAGTAAATTAGTCAATTATTGATAACTTTGTAGTAAATTATCGCTAAATTAATAGTGAATTAATTATAACTTTATAATAAATCATCAGTAACTTAATAATAAATCATCAATAATTTATTAGTAAATCATTCATAACTTAATAGTAAATCATTCATAAATTAGTAGTACTTCAATGCTAATTTGGTAGTAAATTATTGATAATTTAGTAGTATATCATTGATAACGTAGTATAAATCATTGATAAAATAGTACCAAATTGATGATAACTTAATTATCAATTATTGATAAATTTTTTACACTTCAACTTGCTAGGAATTGAATTTTGGTTACTAGCAATAACGAAACTAAAAATTTCATCTTGAGAGGGTAGAAAAAATTACCATGAATCTATTCAATAAAAATTTAAGTAAAAAATTCTAAATTTGAATGAAACAATAATATTAGTATATAAAAAATTATCTTATACTAGAACTCAACTCTCGCTTTCTTGTGAGAATCCATTATTAAATTTATGATAGCTCAAATTTTATCTATAATTATCAAAAATATATTATAAGTTACCAAAATATTATTAAAGTTACATCAAGAGGTTACCAAAATTTTATCAAAAACTATAAAAATTGTATTAATGATTACTAAAATTATATCATAATTTATCAAAATAATGTCAAAGATTACCAAAATTATATCGAAGGTTACCAAAATTTTATCAAAAGTTATCAAAATTTTGAAATCAAAATTATATCAAAAGTTATCAAATTTTACTTATAATATAAAAAATACAAATTAAATTGTTTGTATATATCATTATTATTAAAAGCATATCAAAAGTTATTAAATTTTACTTATATTATACCAAAATTAAAAAATATATTATTATTATCATCATCATCATCATCATAGTATCAAAAAATTTATTTATTAAATTTTACTTATAGTATAAAAAATACAAATTAAATTGTTTGTATTTATCATTATTATCAAAGCATATCAAAAGTTATTAAATTGTACTTATATTATACCAAAATAAAAAATATATTATTATTATCATCATCATCATTATCATCATAGTATCAAAAAATTTATTTATTAAAATGAATTTTTAAATATAAGAATTACACATGCAACATGCATGTGCTTAAAACTAGTATGTATATATATATATATATATATATATATATATGAGGAATCCACTTACATTAGTGTATTTCTTATTCTTTTTTTACCAATATTAGATCAAAATAGCTAAAATAGCTAAGGTTAAAAATATTTTTTTATTCAAATTAATCATAAATTTAACTTTGATCTAATAGACAAAAAAAAAGTATAAGAGCTACACTAATATAGTTGGATCTTTACTCGTACAAATATGAATAAAAATCCATTTACACTAGTGTAACACTTATATACTTTCTTGATTCTCATATCAAAATTAAATTCATAACACTTATTATTAATCATTTTTATCCAAAAATTTATAAAATATGTAAGATTTACATTAATACAATTAAAAACCTCCATATATATATATATAAGCTTTTTTGAGGTTAAGAGAATTCACTTAGCGGCACAGCTTACTTTGACAAATAAAGTATCATTATTCAAAAAATAAATAAATAAATGAATTCACTTTAAAGCTAGAAAACAATTTATATAAAAATAGCAGAATTTTTAAATATTCTAAATTATTTTTAGTCAAAAGAAATGTTAACCGAGTGTTTTATTCGAGGTTTAATTTTTTTCCTTTTGAAAACATTTAATTTCCGATTATATTTTAAGTTCCTTTAAAAAATTGAAACACTAGAAATTTTTTTCTTCTTAAAACAAAAACTCTAATCATAAATTTCGAAAGACCTCGTAAAACTTTCTTATCTTAAAATCAATATAGTCAAAGCTATATTAAAGTCCAAAAAAATTTTAATTTTTCTCTTTACATGAATTATACTCTCACTTAAACTCAAATAATAATTTAGAAAACAAACTTTAAGCTTAATAGATACACAAATAGATTTATAGCAAGTTAATTTGATTTGAAAAATAATTTCATTGGATATATGAAATAATTATTTAATTTGATAATTCATTGGAATTAAACAGTTTAATTCCTGTGCATGTGGCACTGCTTATTCTCCACTCTTAATACCCCACTCTTCCTTTAATGAGCAGCTTCGTAGAGTCATTATCACACCATTCTTCTCACGTGTACTGTTCCTATATAAAGATAGTAAAAATAATTACTACATAGATTTTTAAAAATTTAAATTTTATTCGTAGCTTGCAAGATTTCAAATTAATTATAACTATATATTACTCAATTAAACAAAACATTACTACTATGAAACAAAATACACTTTCTAGTTTACTGTTTAATTATGTTTACACTTGAAATGATACCAAAGATATATAAATATAATAATGATAGTAATCAACAAGCTCTAAGCGGTTTTCCACAAAGACAGTCGTTGTACACAAAAGAGGATGCTTCCAGATGATCGAACGGTGCTCCTGCCGGAATGCGTCCACATAGATGGTTGTAACTCAAATCTAGGTGTCCGATGTAAGACGCCGCTGACAAACTTCTCGGTATCGGACCCGTAAACTTGTTATGCGATAAATCGATCACGGTAAAATAAGATCTCGGCCCAAATACATCCGGAATTGTTCCTTCCAACGCGTTTCGGCTCAAATTCAAGTTCCCAATATCCGAACTCAAAACAGTCGTTGGTATAGTACCCGTTATGTTGTTGCAATCCAAATTTAATGTCGCCAGGACGGCCATTTTCCCAAGACAAGGAGGAATCGCCCCCCATATTTTGTTTATTGAGAGGTCCAAATCAGCTAGACGATAAATTCCACATATCGAGACGGGGATTGGTCCGCTTATCAGGTTCCCGCTCAACAAAGCGCGGCTCAACATCCTGAGTTCCCCGGCTTTGCTCGGGATTGGACCCCAAATTTTGTTGTTTCTCAAATCAAGATGCATCAAGTTTGATAAATTCGTCAATGAAGGGGGAATTCTCCCCGATATTTGGTTATCGGCAACATTAAAAACAGTGAGACGCTTCAACCTCCCAATATCAGCAGGAATTTCCCCCGAGATCTTGTTACCAATCAAATCAAGAATGCGAAGAAATGGCAGCCTAGTAACACATTTTGGAATCTCCCCAGTAATTCCTTTCCAATCAGCTATAATAATACTGGAAAGCCGAGTTAACTTACATATTTCGGGTGAGATAAAACCTGTCATATTACCGGTGCGGTGGGCTCGTTCCAAGAAGGGATCTTCGGACTCACCGCGGAGATTAATGTCAGCAACTCGATTTGACTCAGGGTCGCAGCTAATGCCGTACCAGTTGTGGCAACAGTCGGTGCCCGTCCATGACTTGAAGATGCCCAAGTAAGGCTCGTGGAGAGCTGCCTTGAATTCTACCAGCGCTGCCCGTTCAGACGGAGGGCAGCTATTGGCGGTGTGGATAACGGTAACTACTAATACCAAAATAATGCCGAAAACATCCTTCATTATTTCTTTCTTTGGTCTGAAACAGACGAAGTTTTTGTCTGACGGTTTTTTTTTTTTTTTAAACTACGTTGCAGAGTCAAGGGCCACTGGGCATGGTTTCACTTTGTTTATTTATAAGCGGGAAGTGTGGATCTTATGTGACGACTTTGCCCCTAACGTCCATTGTGTCAGTTTATGGTGCTTTCTTAGAAGGTTCGATGTAGTTTTGCCACGTCAAATTTTGACTTGTGATTGTCTAATTTGAGTGTTTTTTTTTCTTTTTCAAGTTTAATCATGGATGTGATAGAATATATATTGAATTGTGATATACATGGAATTATTATAATACTTTTTAGATTAATTTATAAAATTACAATATATTTTTATTTAGACGTATTAAAAATTAAAATTTGATAATTCCAATAAACAGTTAAACCATTTATTAATAAATCATACTATTATAAACATAAAATATTAAGTATCATATATTAAAAAAGTATTGTTTATTATTAAATAATAAAATAATTTGACAATTTTAAATAGGACACAATAATAAATAAATAATTAAAATAAAAATTATGTAATTTAAAAATTTTAATAAAAATTGTATATAAATTTAATAAAAATAAAAATTCCTTAGAAAAAATTAATTTATTTCTTGCGTTAAATTCTTCTTGTGTTTCAGAGTACTTTGGAAAACAAAGCAAAATTAGTTTGTCCGAAACCAAAATTAATGTGTTCTACGCAATCGAACTTAAAAACATGTGGAAAAAGTGGAGGACAAGGGATTAGAAGGGAAAGATGAGCCTAATAATTGAGGATGAAACAGCTCATCAACACGGGGAATGAAGGGATAAGCCTTGGGTTAGGAAATTGGAGTAGAGGGACTGAATTTTCAAGAGTCTGAACAGTAAAGATGATGGCCGAGCAACGTGGCTTCTTCAGATCCATGATTAATATCAATTATGCTGGGGTACTTCCATAAATACACCTTTTCAAAGTCGGACTATATGCTCAGATTCGGGTCTATTCAAGTTTTTAAAAATTTTAAATAAAAATTTTAAATTTATTAAATAAATTTATCATAATTTTAAATTAATTAAAATTTTAAATCGAATCTTAAATAAAAAATAAAAAATTAAAATTGATTTGATCATATTAAAAATTATATAATTAAAATACTATAATTATATTTGTATATATTTTATTTTATTATTTTATTTATAAAATTTTAATTTTTTTATTTAAATTAAATTTAATGAGTGATTTTTAAATTTATTTTTTAATTTAAATTAAAATTTAAAAAATTTAAAATCTTAAAACATCGAAACTAATCGAATTTATATAAATATATAAATTATTAATATCAAATATGATTTTAACTTAAATTTTACTCGATTCAATCCAAATCTAATTTAATTTAGCCCATAAACATCTTCACCCATAGCACAAAAAAGGTATGCTATTTAGTTAAAAAAAAAAAACTCCTAAGTCGTTTTTGCCAATTCAAATTTCTCAATATTTTTGAATAAAATATCATTTAAGTTGATGATTTTTGGATTTGGTAATCGGATGTTATGCTAAAGGTTAATTGATTAGTAATTTGAAGGATGAGTGACCTGTAATAAAAGCAACGAACAAGAGGACGTAGGAGTTGAGATTTTGATCGTACGATGTTCAAATCATTAAAGTTTAGCATAATAATAATAAAAAAAAGAAAACAAACATAAGTGTGAAGAGTTCATAATGAAATATCTGTCTCTATCTTATATTTTATAATAAATTAATATTAATGTAATCAATTGATTTATTTAATATTAATTAAATTTTAAATCAATTGAGGTGATCATTAATTTAATGGTCAATGAGTATTAATTTAACAATCAAGATTTTGATCCGACGGTCGAAATATAATAATTTCCAAAAAATAATGAGATAAAATTAGTTTCCTAAATCCATGTTCTTTGTTAGGAAATTGAAGATGGAAAATTGAAATTAGGTAACTGCACCAATTTACAAAATATGTTCGAATTAATTAAACATGATATGATATGATTATGAAGCTGCAAATTTGTGGGGCCAGGGTCATTACCAAATCTGTTTATAGTAATGTACTGAGGACGTTTATTATCATCGGTGCATGAATGTTTGATGAATTTAGGCTACAGAAACAGTTTTGGAAATGTTGATTGCTACCCATTTTCATGAATAATTTAGAGAAGTGATTGAGCCGCATGGTGGATAGGACCATCTAACTATCGAGTAAACGTCAATGTCTTAATGGATTGCCCCACAAGGACCCGAATCTCTGTCTGCTTCACAGGAATCACGGGTTCGGTCCTTTCGGGAACTAGTCTATTTATTTATTTAATGCTATTGACGAAGACTTGATAGTAAATTAGAGTCTCGTTCCACTGATCTAGACCGTTCACCATTCAATCATCCCACTGCAAAGAGGGGAAAAAAAAAAAAAGACCGTAAGGCGTTGATATCATTGAAGAAGATGAAGTGAAGACAAGCCATGATCTATTCCTGTTACGTGGATGTCAAGCAGTAATTGTGTAGATTGCAATGTCCCTAAAAGCATATCTTGAAGAAAGTAATGAGATTTGATGGGACATATGGCCTATAATTTTGAAGAGTTTACCTTCCGCTTCCGTTAGTTAAAGTACGCATCCTTTTTTTTTTTTTTCTTTCGCTTTTGAGATCGAATGCCACACTGGTTTTGATCTTTATAAGGTTCCTATGTTTATTACCAAAAATAAAGTTCTAATGTCGGTCTAATTAAGTTTGGCTTTGAAGTTCATAGCTTTTCAAAATTTGAACTTTTATATAAGAATTTATTCAATAAAATTTTTTAAAACATATAGTTGAAAATCATTTTATTTAAATTTGAACATTATTTTAAAATAATTTTTAAATATTGAAATAAAAAATTGCATATCTCAAAGAGTCAAAATTAGACCATAATACAAAGATAATAACAAATACTTGTTTAAAAAATGTGTTTAAAATAAATTGTAATCACTAATATCTCTCCTAATATTATTTTTCTTATTTTGTCTACACTACATATATAAATAAGGTTTTTATATGTACTTATTTATTAGTTACTACTATCGGAAAGAACTGACTTTTTAAAATTTTCTTTCAAGACAATTATGAGATTATTTTAGTAATTAGAGAGCAATCAATTATTAATTTACAAAATGTGCCTAGAATCAAATTAGTTGTAATTTTTAATATCTCTTTTATTATTATTTTTATATATTATTTATATCACTTATATAAATTATATACTCTTTCATGTAAGCAAAAATATTAACAATATAGCCCTTTGGGTCTTTTTCCCGTGGATATAAGTCACCATGGTCGATCCACATATTTCTTTGTGTCCTTATCTTATTACCTTTTCACTTACTTATTTTCGTTCACATAATCATTCTTATTTAAAACTTAACATGGTATTAAAGTCATAACAAGCTCCTGTTGGGAATATTGACTCAAATCCCATAAGAGATTTGTTTGAAATTTGTTTGAAATTTGTTAGATATTGCTTGATGGACAAGAAGACTTACAAGAGAAAAATTTTAAGGGGAAAGAGATTCTTAATAGGTAAGTTTGACTTGCAAGAGAAAAATTCTAAGGGGAAAAAGATTCTTAATATGCAAGTTTGACTTACAAGAGAAGAATTCTAAGAGGAAATGGATTCTTAATGGGCAAATTTATATGATTATAAATATGTGAAGTCTCTACAGGGTTAGATATGAGAAAAAGATGTAAGAAAGTTATAAGGTTTTGTGGGATAGACACCCCATAGGAGTATTGGGTCTTTATGCCTTATGGGTGTGTATATTTGTTTGTGAGTGGACTAAAGGAGACTAAGAGGGTCCACATAGGTATGATGTATGGGAGCATATGGGTATGTGTTTGGTTATGTTGAAAGGATGCACAAGGGTTTGGGTTTATTTGGATTGAGAATACTTCATAAGACTAGAGGAGATTGAGAGTGTCTTATGAGTATTGATTGTTGAGTGAGGTTGATGATTTGATGTAAGTTTGTAATTCTTTATAACTAGTGGATCTTGTTTCTCATCCGTAGATGTAGGTCAGTTGGACTGAACCACGTTAAATTGTTATCTCTTGTGTGTTTGATTTATTGTTTGATTTCGCTTCCACTGGTGTGATTGGATTGAAGGCTTTTAGCCCAACAAATGGTATCAGAGCTATGGTGATCTCCAACAAGTGATATCAAAGCTAAATGTTCGAAACATAGGAAGAGTCAAATGTTCGAGATGTGAGAAGAGCCGATGGTTCGAGATATGAAAAGAGTTGACAGTTCGAGATATAGAAAGAGCTTGGTTTAAGACATGGGAAGAAGTAAGTTTAGAGGAGCTCGATTCAAGATAAGAGTTCGAGTTCAAGTTTTGAAGATTAAAGATCAGTTTATATGAAGCGTGAAGACACACAAGAGAAGATGATTGTGAGACTTTCATTACAGGTGAAGTTAAGCATGTCTAGTATGAAGACAAATGATTGATGAAATTTGAGTCAAAGTGGAGATTGTTGAAAATATTGACTCAAATCCCATAAGAGATTTGTTTGAGATTTGTTTAAAATTTGTTAAATATTACTTGATGGATAAGAAGACTTGCAAAAGAAGAATTCTAAAAGAAAAAGAATTTTTAGTAGGTAAATTTGACTTGCAAAAGAAGAATTCTAAGGGGAAAGAGATTCTTAATAGGCAAGTTTGACTTACAGGAGAAGAATTCTAAAAGGAAAATGATTCTTAATGGGCAAGTTTATATGGTTATAAATAGGTGAAGTCTCTACAGGGTTAGGTATGAGAAAAAGATGTAAGAGAGTTGTAGGATTTTATGAGATAGACACCCCATAGGAGTATTATGGCTCTACGTCTTATGGGTGTGTATATTTGTTTGTGAGTGGACTAGAAGAGACTAAGAGGATCCACTTAGGTATGATGTATGGGAGCATATGGGTATGTGTTTGGTTATGTTGAAAGGATGCACAAGGGTTTGGGTTTATTTGGATTGAGAATACTTCATAAGACTAGAGGAGATTGAGAGTGTCTTATGAGTATTGATTGTTGAGTGAGGTTGATG